TACATCCAGCAAGTTTCACCTCAGGTTAATCTAAATGTGTTCATCCATCCATCCATTATCTGTACCGCTTTTCCCACTCGGGGTCACTGATCCCAGCTGTCATTGTGCGATAGGTGGGGTACACCCTTATGCCAATTGTTCGCTGTTTGTCAATCACAGGGCTGAAATATCTTTATATACAGACACGCAGCCACACTCATATTCACACCTACGGGCAATTTAGAGTCACCTATTGACCTATCGATGAGTCTTTGGACTGTGGGAGGAAGCCGTAGTAACCGGAGGGAACCTACACATGCACAGGCAGATAAATGTGTTCATGATGAGCATTCATATTGAGAATATTATTTCTTGTCGATGATGGTCTTTACTTTTCTGGCTCATATAGAATTACCAGCATTACATTCAGCCCATTTCATAACCAGCTGAAAAAAACACAAAACCTTATCGAAACTTTCTTTGTTCCTGAATTAAATTTGACTTCCCCTACACATCTGAAGCTCTTTCTAAATGTATGTTTTGGCTCTTTGTCCTATTGGTTTGATCAACAGCAGTACCGGTTTTCCTGGATTGTGTGTATGTGTGTGTGTGACTGTGTGTGTGTTTTTGAGTGGGTGGTGGTTTAACAGGGGATGTGGTGCCCTTCCAGCAGGCAGACGGCTCTATTGTTCCTGCAACAGAGAGAACATCGTCTCCAGCCTGTCCACTCAGGATGTCGGATTGAACCTCCTTTAAAAAAAAAAAAGGAAAAAGAAGGAACTGCCAGCATCACCGCCACCCATTATCCCTATCATCCAGCGACAACAATGGAGCACCTCTAAACATCCCTTCCCAGGAACCTCGGCGCTTGGTTCCCACAGTACTGTCCAGTTCTTGCAAAGCTGAACCATTGTTAGACGTCCGACCTGTCCTCTGATTGTTCCCAGGAGGTCGCACTCACTTTTCACACACCTTTCCCACACTGCACTTCTTGTTACCTCTCTCTCGCTCTCTCTTACAGTTTAATTTAGCTGCAGTATCACATCCACCTCTCCATCCTCTCTGGGTTCAGATGGAAACGTCCAAGCAGCTTGAACCAATTGAAACTCTGAACATGCACAACATGGAAGGGCCATTCCATAGATACCAAACTAAAGAGAAGACTTCAAGCTGATGACTGCCGATACAGGCTACACTCCATTGCCAATGTAAATCTGGGCCTCATAATACGACCCCATTTCCCGAGCAGGCCGACTAATTTAGCGGAACTCATCCTGGCACACTCGTAAGGTTATCATCCATTAAGTAAGAAAGCTCCCGGGGCATTGGGTGAGGTGAGACCTTTCGGTTTCATTATTTGACACAGCCAGGAACAGCTGCAGGACTGGAGTGAAAGAACGGAGATATTACTGAAAAGTGCTGGTGACTGCTTCAAAGAGCTTCATAAAGTTTTCTCATTTTGGAGCCTTTTATGACACCAATAACTTCTCCGTCTTTAATCAATGACGGATTCTTATTGAAGTGTTTGTTCCCTGACCACATCACTGCTATCACTGCTGGCGTTTTTTTTTTTTTACAATGAGGGTAATAAAGATTTTATTGATTGAATATGTGGAAACTTTTCCGTCTTTATGCCTTCAAATGACATGTTGGGTAATTCAACATCTTCCAACATCAGTTAAACACTGTTAATACCAAATTATAATAGCACCATTTTAAGGCAAGACAAGCTTACAGTATTGAAAGAGCAACATTCATGTTAGGAACACTCCTGCTTAGACCTACAGTCTTTCTCTCTCAAGGGTCGCTTTCTAACACTAACAATAAGTCAAATCATGAGTCGGGCTTATTTATATATATTCTGTATACACTTGTACAGTGTATACAGAAAGTATTCACAGCGCTTCACTTTTTCCACATTTTGATATGTTACAGCAAAAATAGATTAAATTATTTTTTCACTCAAAATTCTACACACAATACCCCATAATGACAAAGTGAAAAAAAATTGTTTGAAATATTTGCAACTTTACAAAAAATTAAGAAGGAAAATATAACATGTACATGAGTATTCACAACCTTTGCCATGACACTCAAAATTGAGTTTGCCAAAAGGCACCTGAAGGACTCTCAGACCATGGGAAACAAAATTCACTGGTCTGATGAAACAAAGTTTGAACTCTTTGGCCTCAATGCCAAGCGTCATGTCTGGAGGAAACCGGGTATCGCTCATCACCTGGCCAATACCATCGCTACGGTGAAGCATGGTGGTGGCAGCATCATGCTGTGGGGATGTTTTTCAGTGGCAGGAAGGGTTGAGCAAATTCTGTGAATACTTATGTACATGTTTATATTTTTGTATTGTATTTTTGTATTATTTTTAATAAAGTTGCAAAATTAAAAAAAAATGTCTTTCACTTTGTCATATTAGGGTATTGTGTGTAGAATTTTTAGGGGAAAAATGAATGTAATCCATTTTGGAATAAGGCTGTAACATAACAAAATGAGGAAAAGGTGAATTGTGTGAATACTTTCCAGATGAGTCAGATGCACCGTAGGTCTTCAAACCCTTTAGGTTGTCATCAGGTGTGATGCAGACTGCTGGAATCCTTGGATCCAGAAAGATCCTGAAGAACTGTTTTTTTTACCAAGAAGCTACCATGTGTGCGACCTCTCTGCATCTTACATAAGCAGTTAAACAAAACTAATGTTTGTGTGATGCAGCATACCTATCCTCTGAAAGTGTCCCTGTATTTACCATGAAGCTTGCTGAGGGCAAAGAAAAGCACTGAAAAAAATTGTAAATATAGAAGACGTGGATTTTTGGGGATTTTTATTTATTTCAGTTTTCTTAGAATTAGCTAAATTATGTGGTACTAATGGCCCAGTCTGCAGATGATGATTAAGCATGTACCTTGAAATAGAGTGTAAAGCCAGAATTTCCCCCTTTGGGATTAATAACGTATGTAAAGTAAAAATATGTATGGCCTATGTATGACTTCAACTCGGTCAGTTTCTCAACAAAGGAACCACGCTGACCAGCATCTCCTGTAACTAATACACTTGTTATGTCATGTAACCCAAGTTCTAAAAATACAAACTATCCCTTTAAATCAGTATGAATATTTCCGAGGTTTAACTATAAAAAAAAAAAGAAATAGGACTTATTTTTCGATACACTACATCCTTTATCAAATCTTAGATAAAGAGTGGAGGGGAAAGCTGCCCTTTAAAGGACACAGTTCATTTTAGCTCTGTGTTGTTCTTCTGATGCGTGTTTCAGAAGGAATGTTGTTTTCACAAAGCTAGTATGTTGTTGTATGTGCAACTCTTTTCCGATGAAATGCATTTCAAAGTTAACAGTATGACTAAATGTAATCTGTTTCCAAATCCATAAATAAATGTAGGCTCTATACACATTCTGCATCAACCACCACAGCGATCCTAGCGAGCACTTCACTGTGCACACCCAATGAAGGCTGAATCCAAACGGAGCACAGGTGTAGATTTCATTTAAACAGGACTTCAACATAATTTAGCTAATCCAGGCTTTAATACTGCAGTAAAGATAAGATTGTCTTTAATCAGCCATGTGGGTAGTTACAGGGTTGACTTTTTTTTTTTTAAATCTCAGATCAGGGTGATCTTATTTTGAAAGCCAACATCAGCAGGAAATCAGGAGTGCTTCTGGTGTCATTGCAATTGTGAATATTGGCCTATATGAGTTATTTTAAGTGAGTGCTTTTATACAGTGTGGAATTTAGTACAGTATTATGTTTTAAAATGACCCTCATGAACCAATTATACTGGTCAGACAACTCACGTTTGTATTGTTTAAAAGAGTGGTTCTCAACCGGTGGGTCGGGACCCACAAGTGGGTCACAGGGCTGTTTTCAGTGGGTCGTGAATAAAGTCCATGAAGTGCCTTTTAAACATGTTTTCTTGATCTGTACATTTGTTTTGTCACATTTTTTGAAACGGCTGAGGTCGAGACGGCACCATCTTTCATTAAATGAATGTGACTGGTTGAAAAATGTGTAGGTTGTGATTTTTCATGGAGGAGTTGGTGGTGGGTCCTGAGGGTAAACCACTGGTTTAAAAATATTTATTGCAGCAGAACATCATTTGTGTTTACCGTCTAGGCTCCAACTTTATCACTCCTCACAGTTTTAATTTACATGCAGAAATCTGAGGAGTGATAGGATGATATCTGAAGACCCAGCAGTCGGAGCCTACAGGTGGATGCTGGGGTGGTGGTGGGGCTGAGAGTACAGTACTGCTGGACAGTGAAAGAGCAGAGGAAGAGACCCTAAATCTTGCAGCTTAAATCGGCCGCTAACTGTAAGGTGTTGTCAGGTGATTGTTGAGAATGAGGCATGTCAAGGGTGAAATCAGTGCAGATCGAGTTGACTGCCTGAACAAGCTCGCAGGCGTCGCCTCACTTAAGAAAATCAGGTGTCATGTATTGTGGTCCATTCTGCATTTTAAAGTCAAAGTTGTTGTTTCTTTTTAGGTTTGGTTCAATTTCTGTGTGAGCTCTATACCTTCCCCAGCTAGGACGGTTTTTATTACCAAATGTAAATTATATTTATTGTCCTGACAGACTGTGACGTTTCTAAGACCACAAACACCAAGGAATCTTTTGTGTGTGAAGCTCACCCTGAATACACCCTGGATTTATAGCTCAGAGGTCAGATACATATACACATTTGAAAACAGCTTCGAGGTTCCAGCTTTCTCTACAGGTCACATTCCAAAAAGGTGAATGAGTTCACAGTTTCCTTATTCATCATCGCTTTGTCTATACTGTTGTCTGGAAAACAGTTTCCTTCTTGAAGAGAACAAGCGGAGTCATTACTTCCTTCCTCTGACTTTGATGTTCCTCTCTGTCCTTGGCAGCAGTGTTGTTTCATAATCAAGTGGGACCTTAATGTGAAAGGAATCAGCTGAAACACAAGTGAAACAAATCTGAAACTTAACTATGATGGGGAAAAAAAAAAAATCAGCTGGAAGAACTGGTGTCATGTCTATTTCTTTATTATTCTTGAAAAATGCCCACATTAACTGATGAGTTTACAGCGAGAGGCGTGAAAACACGTTCCTTTATTTATCACACTTTTCAAAACACAACCACACAAACTGTGGACCCTTTAAAATACAAATGTGTGGATGTTTCAGGCTATAGGACTAAGCAGCTTAAACTTCCTGAGAGACCTCCCACACTACTGTTGGCTTATTGTCACATACCATCGCAGGATAGCCGAGATAAAAAGAACTAACACAACACACACACACACACACACACACACGCCTTGCTTTCTTTGCTTTCATGTTGACAATCTGACGTCCTTCCTCGACGTTCACAGAACATTAAAAAGGAGAAACACAATGTGACAAAGGGAAAGTGACAAAACAAGTAGCCTAACATTTGTGAGATTTACCTGCAAAGACACAACATGTTTGTGCCATAGTAGCAACAATACGATGTTAATAAAGCAAGGAAATGACTTAATCATCCAGAGGTTCCACGTTTTAGAGTTTGTTGTTGCAGTGTCTTGCTTTTGTTTTACATCCATGCACAAACAGGCAAGAGCAACGTGAGAGGGATGGTTAAAAAAAACACATTAACAGACTGAGAATGCCTTCTTTATTCTTATCAGCTGTCTAACTTAAAAGTGTCTGATATTTACACACGTATGCTAATGCCTCTTGGTGGCAGGAGTGACATTGTGTTGGTAAAGTAAATGGCAAGAGCGAGTGTTTTGTCACTCTGGTTCAACCCCTTTTCTCCCCCCCCCCTACACCACCGCTCTCCATTGGTACTAAACAAACCAGTCTCCATACCGCCCACTCGGGTTAGCTCTTTTCAGGGCGGTTTCTGTTCAGAGCCGCTTTGGGTGCAAACTCCAGTCTGTCCTTTAGGCTGAGCACCTGGGTGCTGTCCATGCCCATTTGTTCCTGCAGCTTCCTCTCCTCCCTCAGCTCCAGGATGCTCCTGTCCTCTCGAGGTTTCGGGGTCCCCCTGACAAACCACTCCAGGTGGTAGCCCACGGCTCCCACAACAAAGGCCACAGGGAAAGTGACGTAAGGAGCGTAGGTGCGCATCGCCGTCCAGACCAAAGGCCACATGACTGCACGCTGATTTGTCTCCTAGAGATGCTGAAACAGGAAACCCAATCGCTGTTTATTCGATTATATGGCTTAAAAGTGTCATTTTAACTTAACAGTAGGACAGAGAGGTGAACAGGCATACAATGTCATCTCGTATACACATATCACCACACCTCACTGATTTCAAATGTTTCCACTTATCTGGTTCCCCCTTGTGGTTTAAGGCTGTATCAAATGTGTTAACACATTTCTGACTACTACAATGAATGACTTGCATGTTTCTTTTCCTCAGCCTTCAAACCACAGGCATGCATAACATACCTAATCATTAAAACAAAACTATTTTATTCGACTTCACGACAGGAATACATCCGGCTATTTCTTTTACTGTGGTGATAAAACATTATAGAAAATAACTTTTTCTAACAGCTTAATTTGTTGCATGTAATGCCAAACAGAAGATGCATGAAGTAACATTTTGACTGTCCTTCTCATGACCTTTAACCCCCTCCTAAAACTGCGTATAATAACAACACGATTTCAAATGTTATGGCAGAATCAATAAGTCCAAAAATAAAGGGAGAAAAAAAAAAAAACAAGTTCACATAACAATAACGTTCTTCCGATGAAATACAAGATTTTCGCTTCACATTTAAGTCTAATTGTAGTGCTCATTTGTGTGTGATCGTTTTTACTTACCAAGCCGAATTGAAGAGTGGTTTCCCACAATACGGAAACCACCTTTGAGTGCACCCGACAGCGTTTTGTTTACTTTTTACACAGGCAAGAAACAACAAATGGTCCATTTTGCTATGGAGTTTGGCGTTAAGATGACACATCGCTAACTCAACCAGACGGTCGCGATGAGCACTGTTCGAGCAATTAAATACAACTTCTATAAACACTGAATATAACTTATTTCTTCGTGATTTTCGTCTGGTTTTGAATTATATAAGCAGGCTAATCCAAACGTCTAGAAGTCATGTATTGAAACTCTTTGGCAACTTCTACCTCTGTGCGATGTAATAATGCAGGCGGTGCCGTGCTAATACAACAAATGCACGCGTACCGTTTTCTAGCATTTAAAGGCCTTTTGGCTTTTATTGATCAAGTCGTTTGATATTTATATACGTTTATTTCATAAGTCTTCACTCACCTTTACCGTTAGCACGTTGGTACAGCAGTGACTTTACGTAATTTCCGTGTGACTCTGTGTTTCCTTCCTGCTAAAAGCTTATTGGCTGAGGCTTCACCTACCTTCATTCTCGGGGATTTAGCGCCACCCAGTGGTAAGAATGTTGCATTGCTTTTAAATTGGGTTGGTAAAAATTTGAAATTAAATTTCGACAATTGTTGAGGAAAATACAAGGAAAAAAATGTCTTTGGTACTGAATGGGGTTGGTAAAAGATGTATTGTGTCACAGGCAGTAATAATAAAACAAAACAAAACATTGATTTTAGGATCATTTTCAAAAGTTGCAGGTTTTTTTCCAACAACAAACTGCATTTTTCATTGTTTTTGTGTATGCTCTGCAGCTTGAACAACAGTTTCCCCAAGGCATACATTCAGTTTTAATCAAAAGTATCTTAGGTTGTAGAATCCAGTGCTCCGTGGTGGTTGACACCCTTGCTAGGTCTGTAACATTTTTTCCAGAAGCTGTGATTGGTTGATCAAAAAAAAAAAAAAAAAACTGAGGAAAAAAAAGTGCTCTCTTAGTGATAATGGGCATAGATGGACAGTGAAATATATTGGGCCCCATCATAGAATCCAGTTAGATATTATGTAATTATGCAATATATCCATGTGATAAATTGTAAGGTGCACTTTAAAAGTATTTTCAAGATGTTTGAAGTCACATGCTCACTTGTGGAGCAGGTGCTGATTGTTTACATCAGCAGGTGAAGAGGCTTAATCAGTGATTGGATGCACCTGTGGAGGTGGCTACATGTAGAGAAACTCAATGTGTATGTCTCACTTTGATCTGAAAAAAAAGTCACAGATGGATTGAAATGTCTGCATAAATAATTTGTGTCTGTTCGGCCCGACTATGAGTCAAAAGAATATACTTAGTGAAGGGTTTGAAGAACACTCCTTTTTCTCATCAGCTTGAGAAACTCTTAAGCCTGTTAGAAGTCCTCCTTTAGTTTTACACCTGAGGAGCTCTCTAAGGGGTAAGAAGCTTCATGAATCATTTTCAGTTTCACAAGGATCTAGTCTTAACTTTGAGGGGAAACGCTAAGAAAATGTCATGATTCGAAGAATTTTCTCAGAATTTTGTCACTAGGAGCGACTCTTAGTATTTAGGAGGCTTCATGAATTCGGCCCAAGGTGCTTTGTGACGAAGGGAAGTGTTTGTATAACAAACAAAACTCAGATGGTTGTCCATTCAGTGATTTTCATGACACACTCCGTCTGAGTTCACACCACTTGAAATGTTGCGCAAATCTCGCCTTTTGTTTTTCACACTGACAAGGCATCAGCCAACAGTGTTCAGAGACCTAAAGTGGTGGATCATTTCTCCTTTTTTAAAAGAATACTTTGATACAGAAATACAGGGACACTTTCAGAGGACAGGTATGCTGCATCACACAAACATGTGCATTATGTAAGATGCAGAGAGGTCGCACACATTTCAAAACACCCAGCAGGAAACCAAAGATTGTGGGTTTGACTACAGGGGGGAGGATCTATAACTCCATGCTGCTGTAGTCTCTTGGTAGTGGATCAGTAAGAGGTGTTTGCAGACAAAGTTCTCCATATACTACACCAATCAGAGACTGAATCAAAGCCTTTTCATGGAAAGATGACCAGTTTTGACTCAGTTGCTATTTGCAAAGCAGCAGACAGTTTAAAAAAACGGAAACAGATCTAAAGTCCCATATTTAATTGTATCATTACTTCAAACGACTGCTTAAAGTAATCATGATTAAAAGGATTCTGTGTGGGCGATGATGATGCCTCATGCTTCAAAACTATTCGTCTAAGCAGCCCCCCCCCCCTCCTCTCTGCTGTCCATCCTGTATAGTTGCCAGAACACGGCATTTAATCAGTCCTGTCAGATAAAGTGAAATGTGCTCATCCCCCCCCCCCCTGCAGGAAAACAACATTACTAGTGCCTATTCTGCTTAACCCGCTACCCCTAGCAGTGCCAGGATTATTTCATCAGCTCCGTTTTTATTTGTAAATTAGATCTGAAGCTGCATATGCCAAGAGTTGTGCTTAAAAATAAAGCCATTTAATCAATCCGAATCACAAACTGTGGCTGACAAAGAGTGCAGCGTCACATCCTCACCAACTGAAACCCCAACGAGCGGCTCTATTTGCCCAATTTAAATACACGTCAGGCATGGTCAGTGGTGGGAATGTCCTCGTGACACAGGAAATGACTGTCATCTCTTTGGTTAGATCACTAGCAGAAAACATAAACCAGGAAATGACTATTGCCATATGACCTCATTTTAAGGCCCCATAATTCATGTTTTGAAACCAGGTAACTGTTCAGGTGATTTGTCAACAGAACACAAAGTGTGCGCACAAATGCTAAGACAGCCAAGTTGAGCCGTGCATCAGGACCGAGGGAGAAGGATGAGAAGGAGATGCAGCTGTGATATGAGCACTCTAAAGATCCAGAAGATAATGAATGGCTTTCCTCTGATTTTGAAAGTGATTGAGAGAAGCAGGAGGACTCTTGACACAGGCTGTGATCAGGCAGAGTTACAGATGGTGAAGGACATGAGTGGCAGATCTGGAAGGGGAAGACAAGCTTTTTTTTTTTTTGTTGTTGCTCTTTTTGTTCAGTGAGTTTGTTTACAAAGAGGAAAAAAAATGAGCAACTGTTTGTCAGCATTTAGAGGTCAGATTAAATTAGTTGAAGTTGGCCATGACTGTCGCAGTAAGCATTTGTGCGAAGACACTTAAACTAAAAGTCAAGAGGTGTTTATGTAACGTTTGTCTTTTTGACACAGACTACTCAATCAAATAACATCATAAAACTAACTATTTGAAAAGTCTTCAAAGCAGGGAACTCGGACATATAGTATGTGGACTGAGACAGTGTGGATTATTTACCACATGGAAGGAATAACATACACTCTGAGTGAGACTACAAAAAGAAAAAAAATTGTTCAAAGATGGAGCCCTGCCTTTAAGCTAATGCAACCACACAAAAACATACACATGTTTTTGCACATTTCTTATTTGTATTTTCTTGCTTTATCCCCAAGTACTTCGAGATAGAGTGAAGAGATATCAGTCTTCTTTATTATAGTTATCCTTGTATACAACTTTGAATACTTTTGTATAAGTTGAAAAATATTGAAAAAAAAAAATTAAGTAAAAAACAAAAAAAAGAAGCAGAGAACTGTATTTGTTGGCATTGAAAAGTCAAACAAGATTATTTATACATTATAACATGAGATAAAAAAAAAAAGAAAAATTTGGCATCAGGAACCGTTTTGGCAAGCTTATCGAATTCAGACCATAAACATTGTTGGAGAGTTTTACTGTTAATGTTCCGGGCTTCAGTCTCTAAGGATTTCACCGAGATGAAAGTGACAAACATAACAGGGAGGCTGGAAGTGCGTCTGTGTCCCCGGTCTTTTGGCCACACACTACTATATTTTAATATTTTACTGGCTTACAAAAAGTGAAATTTAGCAAACCCTATGATACATTTCTTTTTTTTTTCTATACATATTTGACACTTTATAACCATTTCAATAGGTAAAGCAATGTTTAATATAATGGCCAACCATTGCCTGGAGATATCCTGTGGAGACACACATCTTCAGTCCTGCAGTTGATTGTAGAGAAAACATCTCTACTTGGTATCTAATATGGCTTCCAAAGTTACCTCCAAAATCTTTGAACGTATTCAGTTGGGAAAGATAATAAATCACTTTGGTTGTCAGGGCAACGTGTGTTAAAATGTTCTCTTGTATCAGAGTTTAGCTCTTTATAATCTTACTCAAGTACTGGTTAACTCTCCCTAAGGCATCTATAAGAAGTTTAGAAGGACCTGCAGTATGATGATGATGATGACTGAACCCACAGTCACAGGTGTGTGTGGTGACGCTTTATCTACTCACAGCAACAAGCCGCGGAATGATGTGTGCTGGCTCCTATACTGTTGACATATATCAACACGCTGAGACAGCATTAGAAAGCCGAGCCTAAGAGGACCTGATCATGGAATGACACTGTGAACCCCCGAAGCTCACATGAGCCGGGTGACGGTCCCAGAGAGAAAGTCCTCATAGCTGAGGCGTACGTTGCCCGTCATGCTGGTGTCTCTCTCCCTGAAGACCTGGGTCATGGTCTGGAGCTGGGTGCACACCTGAATGAAGCGGTCCAGCTGGATGCCGGGGCGTACGCCTCGCACGGCGAAGCGCTGCACCAGTGTCTCCGAAAACTGGGGGCTGAGGTTGTAGCCCATCTGAGCGAGGGCTGAGGAGAAGAGAGAGGGAGAGAGGAGACAACCATCCTGCGTTTTATCTCAGTCGTTATTTCGTTCTAATGCCTGATTGTCTTGTGTCTTTAAGAGCTGTAGCAGCCTTTAACAAACATGTTACCTTGGTGCAGCTCCATGCTGCTGATACAGCCTGAGCGGTCTCTGTCATACTGCTGGAAGAGAGCTCTCCACCGCTGCATGAAGTCCCACAGTGCAGAGAAGCCAAACATGTCTATTCGCCCAGACCGCGTCTTGTCAAACATGTCTGACAGGAAATACAGGAAATTACAAGTTTAACCAAAAGTCACTCAGACAGGGTTTTATGGTAAACGTTCCATGTTCTTGTAACACACACACACACACACACACACACACACACACACACACACACACACACACACACACACACACACACACACACACACACACACACACACACACACACACACACACACACACACACACACACACACACACACACACACACACACACACACACACACACACACACACACACACACACACACACACACACGAAATGCATTTCAACTTGTTTCCAGTCAGCCGACTCCCATCATCTTGAATGATCTCCTTGTGTTATCTAAAGGTAGCTCACAGGAGTCACACATCTCTCATTACGGTAAATGGAAGACATTAGTCACCGCCTGGCAAACACTGCTGCTAAAAAAAAAAATTAGGCCACTTATAAAACCATCCCACTCGTTTTATCCCACACCCCTTAATTAATTTATTGTTCCTAAAAAAAACTTCCTCCTCCCCTTTGCTGTACCCATTTATGTCTCTGAGTACTTCTGGGTCTTTTTTTTTTTTTTGCTGCAGGATACACTCTGAAAACATTTTTAACAAATTCCTGAACACAGAGGTCCCTCAGTCTCGGTATAGATATTATGCAGCTAGATGACGTACTGATCATCATGAGGCACGTCTCGTCATTAAATGCAGACCAGTTGGAGTTGACAAGTGCCTGCTTCAGCTCCTTGAGGTTGATGAAGCCGCTGCGGTCTGTGTCGACTGTCTGGAACCACTGGTGCGCCTCTGGGTTAACACCATGAGGGATGTTACCTACAGAGAGGAGAAATAGAGTCATAATGGGATATTGAAGAAGGGCTGAGATAGACTCACTTTGGAGAAGCCCATCACTGCAGGATTGTTTTCTCAAGTCACTGTTTTCCTCTTCTTCTTCTTCTTCTACTTCTATCTGTCGGAGACGGCTTGTTCGATTCATGCTCTTTCCATCCTTATATTATTAATCAATCATTGTTTCAGTAAGGCTCATAGACTTTGAGGTGAAACTTGATATGTGTCGAGGGAAAAAGAAAGCAAAAGAGAAAAGAACAGGACAGTGAAGATTCCTGAAAATGAAGCAGCAGCCCCGTTCGGATGCAAAATAATGACTTATTTATTTGGGAGAAAAAAGAAAGACAATTGTACCGTCTGGTAGTTGAAACTGTGCTGACTCTTTCTAGCAGAAACTTCATAAATAAAACATTGGTGCCTTTCTTGGCTTTGGTGTTTAGAAGAATCTGATTTGAAAAAAGAAAAAAAAAGAAAGTTTCAATCAAGCAGTCAGCCAATCTTTATTTGTGTGGTACCAATTCATGACACGTTATCTCAAGACCCTTTACAAAAAGAGCAGGTCTAGACCGTACACTGTGTCTTATAGTTAAGGATGACTTTATCCTTCAACTAATCACATCTATATGGCTTCAACTCGGTACATACAATGTTGACCTGTTACTTTCTGGAAGAATGTGGGAATGAGAATAAAAATCATTACAGTTAAGATAGCAGGTAAAGGGGCATTTCAGTGTTACGTGTTTCTTATTTTGTACCAGTGTGCATTTTGTTAAAGAATACCTCCCCAGCCTGAGTTATACATGCCTTGTGTTACCTAAGGCACAGATCGTGTAAAAACAACTGAGTGCAGGGTCGAAGGTTGAGGAAAAGTCCTCTCAGCTAGAGGGAGATTGTGTCAGGACAAGAGGCCATAACCTGGATACACCGAGGAAGAGGCACTGAGTGTTGGAAACTATGGTGGAGGAAGAGGAGAGGAGTGGAGGGAGGGCTGGTTGTCAGAGAAATGAATGGTTAGAGAAGGACAGGTGACACTTCAGGCTCTGATGGATTCTGTCCCAGTGGGGGCGTAATAGCTACATACACTATATGGTTCTAAGCAAAGCTGCTATACAGGAAACAGTGTGATCACACATATACATGTATATACACAAGAACACACACACACTCTTTACCTATCCGCCTCTCAGTCTGTTTAGCTCTCACTCTGTATTACAAGAGTCATCACTCCAACCGTGTAATCCTGCTGAGGGGCGCAAACTGAACCCTGTCTCTACATGACTGTCTGGGAACACAAGTCATTTTCTATCCATCATCTCTCCAGAGAGAGAGAGAGGCAGGCAGGGAGAAAAGAGGTAAAGGCAATGGAGAAGGGGAATGAGAGCCTACATCTGCAGCCTGAATAAGGAATATTTCCAGTTCACAAGCAAACATACAGCAGGAGCTCAGCTTAAAGTTACCTGCAGGGGCATGATGTCCATAATGCCCTCCATGGGGTTGTGCACCATAACCCCCATATGGTGCACCAGGGGCGACCCCTTGTCCATGCCCATACTGCCCTCCATGGCCCTGGGCTCCATAAGCCCCTGGCGCACCTCCATATGGCGCAGAGGGCTGATGGCCATAGTGAGCACCTCCTCCCCTGTATGGAGCACCGGGTGGTTGGTTACCTCCTCCTGGATATCCCTACGGTTAGACAAGAGTTGGCTGCATCTGAACAGAAGGCTTCTGTAATAACATCTCATATAAAATTAAAAAGTAAGCGCAGTAGTGGGACAACGACAATTTCATTACAGCACATATACAAACGTGTAACCAGTAAAGAGAATAAGTGCCGAAGTACTCCCTACTAGGAAGTAAACACTTGATTGAGTACGCTTTCTGAAATAGGCTACAGTACTAATTTGACTTTTAAGTTAGGCCTACTTTTACCACAAGAAACGAGCAAGTTGCTGTGCTTGTTATCATTTTATTAAAGTTCATTATGAAGCTTCATAAGACTGTAATAACACACTTGTTTCAATGCAGTGTAGGCCTACAATTATCACATGTAATAAACAAAATGTAACACAAAAAGGCTGCTTTAGAAGAGAGCCACATTTACCTTTTTAAAACTTGCTGAGAAAACTGGTAAAACTAATCTTACAAGGGAAATCTTTCAACATCGCTAGAGTACGACTAGCCTTCTCTACAACGAGCTTCAGTGATGATGACAAATAAGCGTCACTAGTTGCTTTATAATGCAGACTTTAACAAAGATTTCCGCAGAGACGAGGGGGAATTAAAGCAAGCTATGGTTAAATAACAGACGAGTATACAACACTACAGCTGAATATGTAGGTAAACATTTAGCTACACAGGCTTCACGGTATTATTGTAACAACCATGTTTCCGCTAACGTTATCATGTTGCTACACATTAAAGGCTAACATGACACAACTATTGGTTACGTTATGTGGAGGCAATAACACCGACAGTATGCTTACTCAACAATATAAATAGGCTACTTCAACATAGATAAAACGTAAAATGCAGTATTTCAATACCTGGCCGTAGTGGAAACTCATGTTTGACAGACTTTACTTCCTCCAGCAAGGACGACGTGAAGGCGGCCGTCCCAGGACAACTATTGGTTTATTTCCGGGTCTGTCAAAACCGCACCCGCGTCTCTCGCTCCTGATTGGACAGATGAGTGGAAAAGTCATGACGACAAAGCCAAACGGAGTGAATCACTTTTGCCCGTCACTCCCATGAATATAACCGAATATTTTCAGAGTTAGTCACTCTCTGTGTAATCCTTTGAGAAAGCAGGGATTACTGAGAGTCTGAGTTTTGAACTTATTGTTTAGAGGTCCGTATTTCCACGATGCATTGCTGTGTTACACGATCTTTGCTCATTCTTATCTAGGCCTATTTTTTTTAATTTTTTTTATTTTTTTTACACATTTTTTTCCATAATGGGTCAGGCATGACCGCTTAACAGAGCTATTGACAATGAACAATATGAGAGTTTGTTTAAAGAACAAATGAGACACACACCCAAATAAATTGTCAAAAACCTTTATACATCACAACAATAAATACAAAATGTAGAACAAAATATATCATCTGGATTTTACTTCATATTATTTAAAATCTTTTAAAAGTAGACTATTTTTTTTTTTAGTGCTATGGGTTTCTTTAAGTGTAACTTCATGAAGATATTTTGATGTAGGCTATTACATTACAATGCAAAATGTCAACAGACGCCAAAGTAATTCCTTAATAAAAGAGAGCATTTTCTTCATATTATATATCTGATGACCACTTAGGTACTTTATGATGATGGCTTTGTACGAAGCGCTCTCTGTGCTTTGTCTTGTTTTATTCATTAGGGTGCAGCGTTTACGCAGGGAGATAGTTTACTCTTGCTCCACTGTCTTTACTTCAGCTTAGATCTTTCAACTAACAGTTATATTTATGAAAGCTTAAACATACTCCTGGCGAACAATGTACACAAACACAAACACAGGCACAAACATTTCCACTAACTCACAAAACAGACCAATAAAAAAATATGCTTTACCCTTAAACTCCCTCTGCGTGATCTCTCTATTTGAGGGGTTCATTTTCATGCATAAGGTGTGCGTTCCTGCAGAAAATCATTATTTACAAAAAGCTGATCCCTGGATTGATGAAAAACTTTGCCGTTCAGCAGCAGATCTGTGGCAGATAAATGCATTTGGTTTGCAGTGGTGCCTTGAGTACTTTTTTCACCACGGCTACTGCTGTTTCGCCTGTTATTTCTTCCTTGACTTTTTCTCCTCAGACTTCTTGTTACTGAGGTTTTGGACGGACGCTGTGGGATCCACTCTGATTGATGTTTTGGACATGAACTCTGACCTGGGTGCTGCCAGCGGTGCCAGCTCATGACTCTCGGTAAACATCCTCCTGTCTGCCTCGGCCTTCCTCTTAATGAGTTTCTGGATGCGTTTGCAGATGAGGTAAATCATTTCACAGAGACACATTAAAATGCAGAAGGCGGAGGAGACCACCATGAAGATGGTGAAGATCTTCTTTTCTGTTGGACGGGATATGTAGCAGTCCACCGTGTTGGGGCAGGGGTCCAGGGAGCACTTGGACAGGCGGGGCATGTCATAGCCTTCATAGACGTGATACAGGATGTAAAGGAAGCCAGCGTCAAAGCCCGCCTTGAAGATCAGACTCACCTGCAATGAAAATAAATGAAGGTTAATCTTTGCAATACAGATAGTGTATAATATACAATCTGTTCAATTGATCTCCAGATATTTCCCAGTTTGGAATAACTAAAACTTGATTTTGATTGGATCAAAAGGTGCAAAAGATGCTTTAAAAATTGTTTTCAAGTGTATCAGTGAAAAAAAAGAATGTTTACAATTTCATACAGGCTTCTCCATTCTTTGGTACATTGCCACTCATACATTTATACAATTATGTTTGACTTTTGGACAAACTTGAAATGAGATTCACTGCTTTGTCTGCCATGTGTATTTGACCATGGACTGTAAAAGAAGGAGCCTTTGTGACATGGCAAATTTATTGTTGAACCTCCCCCTTGAGGCCTCACATGTGGCCTTTTGGCCATCACCACCGTGCTTTTTTAAACCACAAGTGACCATTTTGAACGATGGGATGGAGACGCATTGCTCCACCTCAATCTAGGTTGACAGTAAACAACATCCCAATCCTTCTTTGTTGTCTAGTTTCCTCTAAACATGCCGTAATCTATGAAATGACCATCAAGCTGAGTTGAAATATACTTTCATATATATATAATATAGCCTAGTCATTTTCACACATGCACTCCTTTACATTATAGATAGCCTGCACCTGAAATCTTCTTGAGTTGCTCTTTCTTTTTTTCAACTTTTTTTCACCAATACGTGCATGCATACATAAAAAGAAGAGGCAAGCGCATACAAACAAACAAAAAGCAAAACACACACACACACACACACACACACACACACACACACACACACACACACACACACACACACACACACACACACACACACACACACAAGTAAGAGCAAACAGGACAAAGAAAAACATGAGAACAGTGTAGCAACAAAATAATGTGAAATAAAACTGGTTGGTTAAGTTGTACGCATGGTGGCGATTTTTGGTGTTATTTGTTTGTTTTGTTTTTTCCTTTGTATGGGTGCAAACATGATGATTACCAAGTACATATTATTTGTTAATTATATGAAAATTGTTGTTATGTCACAGAGGTAGATTTTACTTGTTGGAAAGGGTGAGTAATTGGAATTATACACACTAGAAAGGAAAGAGTGGAAAATAACAGAAAAGTGTATGAAGCAGCTTCATTATGGTATTCAAACCGGTTGTTCAGTGATCATGAGATAAACGTCACCCCACATGCCCACTTGCTGAAAGTTAATTTTCGGAAATATGACATGCTGCGTTCATAAATCAAACCGACTAGTTGCGTACATTTTACTTGGGCCTTGCTGAAAAAAGTCAGGATAAAGTATAGTTAAAAACTTTTACTGTGTGGTTTCCATGCAGTTCACCCTTAAATTTATAGGAAACTTTCAGGAGTTTTAAGCATGTGTGAAAATACTTTCTCTTATTAAGACCATAAACCTAATAAGGAGATGTTTATTTTGTTAATACATCAAGTGTTAAGATGGTTATTATCCCATCTGATTTCATACGATTGGACATTTTCAACAAGTTGAGTTGCCCCTGCTGGTCACAGAAAAGATGCAGGTCCACTTCTTATAAAACATGTCTTTGTATGACATGTATATTAAGGGCTAAAGTAAACATTCCTTCCCCTCTTTGCTTACCAGATATGTCCACCACAGCCCTCCACGTTTCTTCCCAGGGTGGGCATACAGATGGGCGCCCATGTGCGACTGCGTGTACTGCAGGTCCTTCTTCTCCCTATACTTGACGTGTCCCACCACCAACAGCGACGGACAGGTGACGAAGATGAGCTGCAGGGACCACAGGCGGATGTGGGAGATTGGGAAGATGTGGTCGTAGCACACGTTGACGCACCCAGGCTGGGCCGTGTTACAGACAAAGTCCTTGCTCTCATCACCCCACACTCGCTGCGCTGCCACCACAAACACCATCACCCGGAAGACAAAGACCATGGAGAGCCAGACCCGGCCGAACACAGTGGAGTACTTGTTGACCCCACTGATGAGCGACTGCAGAGCAGACCAGTTCATGACTGCTGCCGAAGAGGTGGAGGAGGGGACCGAGGAGGATGAAGATGAGAGAGCTCCTGACCAGATAGGATGAAGTTCTTGATGATCTCACCCTGAGCAATAAAAGAATGACAGAGAATATTAGAAAAAATAAGAGTAGTTATTGCATTTAAAGGCAGAATATGCAATATTTCACACTTAAATATAGCAGAAATCAAGTATATTCTCTGAAAATAACTCTGTGAGTCATGACTGTCTACAATGAGTGTGACACCCGAGTCCCACTGTCTGTGATGCTTTCCGAGACGTGGCTACACTTTGTTTACATCGCCCGGCCAGCCGGCTGGCTCATCTCCTTGCATATAAAATTTGTTTAATTGAGGGATTAGAGAAAAGAAGAACAACGTACTGCACTCACTGCTTAATTGAATGTCACGTAAGCGTTTCTAGATCACGGTCTTTTCGTGTAAATTTAAATGCAGTGTGAAGATACGAGCATAATAAAGATTGCTAGCATTAGCATGCTAACACAACAATGCAGCGCGAGTTGTTTTGGTTTCATGCTGGTGCTCAAGTGCGACATCTGCTGGATCAAAAAATCACATATTCTTCCTTTAAATGTGACTTTGTTAGATATGATAAAATCTATGGTGCTGTACAAGTGTGGTGACCTGTGATTGGCAAGTTGCTACTGCATGCTGCCTGGCACTAAGGGTAGAGATGTGTACCTACTGAAAGGGGACGGACATGTTTGAAAAAAATCACCCTAATTATGTACGAGTTAATGGTTTTTTACTCTTCTATCGCCACCCTTCCCACCAACCCACCCTGCTCATTGCCTTGACCATCAGAAAGTCATTCAAAATACCCTCTTGACACACGCTCAAGCATCATACCAACATATTACATAATACACTGACACTGATTTGTTTCAAAATGATTTCATTTTGAAACCAACTGTACTTAGGTCCACGCAGACTGCAGCGGCCTTATCAACCTCAGCTGACCTGTACTCATAACTGTCTTACAAGTGTTGTTTTGTCATTTGTTTGGTATGTGGTCTTGTGAAACCTAGTGTCTTAAAGGTGCTTGTTTGTTGTCTTAAAAATTCATGTGTCTTATAGGTGCATTATTCTTTTGTCTCGCAATTTAAAAACAAGAAAATGTGCCCCATTCATTGTGTAATGCAACTGTACGATTTTTCTGCTCAAAGCATACTGTGATACTTAACCATGCAATCTGGGGTTGGTCGTAAATGTTTGAACAGCAGTTCTCCCTTATTATGTCTGAAATCATCCATACAAAGAATATGTTATTGTTGAGAAAATAAACCTAATGGGGGTCTGGCTCGTTTGGGAAAAGACAACAATCAATCCATTCACTCATAACATCACCAGGGTTGATTCTCAGACTCAACAACAGCTTCCGAATTGAATAATTGAAATTTATTGTCATTGTATAACAGGATACAAGGAGATTAAGAGCACCACTCCTGGTTGGTGTATAGAAGAACACACCTTCTTACAGTGTTAAACATTTGCACTATCAGATGTGGATCACCAGGAGATATTGTCAACTGTTTTCATAGACTATCTTTGCTCAAATCGGTACACAAGGTAAAGGAGAAGCTCTTTATTGGTTTGCATTTCCTGCTTCCACATTTTAAACATTTTTACTAACACATACTGTAGGTGTTACCATTTGGAGGTAGTGGTGCTGAGGGTGCTGTAGCCATCTAAAATCAGGCACAGTTAAAACCCCCATTCACATTTTTGTTTACTTATTTTTTTAAGGGATACGTAGTTTTAAAATCACAGATGTGTGTGATCGTTTTCTGTCCATTTACTTTAAAGGAAAATTGATCATCTATAGTTTGATATATAGATAGAATGATACAGCTTGCAGCAGATTGGGCTTCTTCATCAAAGACATCTAATTTTGGCGTCTTTTGATTATTTGATTTGATTATTCTTTTGACAACATTTTTCATTCAAACTAATTCTATATGAAAAAAAGCCATGATGCTAGTACACCCTGGTGTTTTTCCAAAGCCCCACAAAGAATACAAACTGTGACAAACAAAAAGCAATTTTGAAGCAATCATCTGCTGTGAGGAAACGTAACAACCAAACCTTTTCACAATCATAGCCTCTGTCGTTGCTGATCTGTGTTTACACACAGGGCCACCTTTTCAATACAGACTCATTATGCATCAATGAGGGGAGTCATCAATGGAGCCTCCCTGTTGCTGAAAGGACAAACCAATACTGTGCACTCTATTAGTCAGCTATTTGAACAGTGTGGGCGCTCGCTGTAATCCCAAATGTCTAATGCAGTCTTTTATCTTCAAAGGACTGTTAAGGGATTCTGTTGTGAATGTTAAGCATGCCATGATCGCTCCATGGCACCCCCGTGCCATGGAGCCATCAGAGAGAAAGGGAGTTCTAGCTGAAATATTACCTTGTGGATTTAATGGCCTAATCGTGTGCAGACTTTAAAAATGGAGCTCTTGTGGATCACCAGCACAGTTGGTTGGCTCTGTTTTGTGTGTGTGTGTGTGTGTGTGTGTGTGTGTGTGTAGAGGTCAATGCAGATCTCTTTGGCTGCTTGTGTATCCTTTTATTCAATTTTTTTCTATCGATGTGGAGTATTTTGATGCTTAACAGAAGTGCATGTAAAATGTGTTTAATGAATGAATTGCAGTCCAATCTAGGACATACCGTATTTTCCGCACTATAAGGCGCACTTAAAAGCCTTTAATTTTCTCAAAAAACGACAGTGCGCCTTATAATCCGGAGCGCCTTATATATGGATCAATTGGTTAATTGGTTGATCCATACTGGTTGTACACGGCGCTCAGCGACACTGACTCGGATAATGACGAGAGGGAGCCGGGCATGTTGGATGCCGTACTCGCCCAACTGTTCAATTCGGACACTGAAGAAGAAGAATTCGAGGGATTCGTGGACGGGGAATGAACTGAAAAAGTGAGCTTTACGTGTTATACGTAACTGAACAATGTTGAGTTATGCACTAACGTTTGAATTAACGGTATCAGACTGTGTTTCTTTTACGTGTTTACAACTGAACTAGGCTGGGAGATATTATGAATATGCACATTAACGTTTGAACAACGTTGAGTTATTGTGAATGCACTACGTTTTATACGTATTTATATTGATATATTCACAATATCTCCCAGCCTTGTTCAGTTGTAAACACGTTCTATTCTATGCGCCTTATAATCCGGTGCGCCCTATATATGAAAACAGTTCTAAAATAGGCCATTCATTGAAGGTGCGCCTTATAGTGCGGAAAATACGGTAGTTAGGGCTGGGATGTCTGGTTTGACGGGTGTGACTGATCTGTAAGGGAAGGAGGCACTATTGAAATATTTCTCTGATTGTTATGTCAGTTCAAACATAAGGAGAGTCTCCTGTGCTGCTTAAGGACAAAGATCTCTTCAGGATTTCTTCCCAGCAGCAGGATGAAAAAAAGAAAAACCCTGTCCTCTTATGCATTTACATCTCATTCTTGTGAACACTCAGCCTGACACAGAGCGCGCTGGATAACAGCCGCGCTGTTCACTGTTCCATTTCAGCTCTGTCTCGCCTAATCCGCAGCATTTTGAATTCAGAAACACTTTCCATCAGCATTTCGGCATCACTGTAGACAAATTGAGCTGTCAAATCAGTTGCTATTTTTCTCTCTCATCCAGCTTTTCTGAGTATTAAATTACATGGCATAAAACAGACTTGACTCAATGAATGGCTTTGAAATCCAAATATAGAGAATTGAGAGCCTGACAGGTTCAATCACTGCTGCTGTTACCTGCGTTTTACCTTGTTTTTCTAAGCGGATGATAAAAGTGGCTTTTATTAATCTTTAAGTGCTTTACGTTCTTTTTGGACAATAACATTCCTTAGCTGTATTTGCATGTTCAGACAAAGCATGTGCACTACTAGCCGACAAAAAGTTCAAAAGCTTTGTCACCCTTACTAGTTTGCATCATTATTACTAGCCAGTTAAACAACTTGTTAACATTTTCATATGTTTGTCATCAACACTGGTCAACTATTGTGTCTCGGCTGTAAAGCAGCCACCTCTCAACACTGTAGCAGTAAACTGGCTGTTGTCTTGGTGATTGGGCCTTCTCTCTTCACTCTACTACTCTGATGTAAACCAGCACAGTGAACGGGTAGCATCTTGCAGAAAAAGCACAGTTTGGCAGTATTTGGATCTACAAAAATGTAGATTAAGTTGATTATAGCCTGTGTCAAGTTATGGTGCGTTCCATTTATCCAAAGATAAATGGAACGGATCTTGGAGCCGGTAATAACCCACCTGAGTTTGCTGTGCAAGCAATCCCGGAGTACCTTTGTTTTTTTCCGCTTATACCAGGTGATAACAACACATAAAGTGATAGTTTGTGCGCAAAAATAAAATGATAGCATGTCCACAGATAGAACCTGCACATTACTATCGCTGTGATTGATTTAATTACACACAAAGAGGACTACGTTGCTAATAAACACAAAAGTTTCAGCTTAAACATTACTGTTGATGCACTCAGCAGCCATGTTGGATTTTAACTCGTGCTACTGAAGGTTCTCTGAGTGTCCAAGTTGGAATTCCGACTTCCTGGTGACGTATGAGACCGGCAAATTGATAAAATTGATGATAAAATGGAACGCACCTTTAAACTAGCACAATCACTCAACCTGAGCAACGAGATACCATCGTTAGCGCAGGCAAGTGGGCATAAAGCGGGACGACCAAAGGCTGGCGGTGCTAGCACTGCTTATGTCACAGTCAGCATACCAATTTGACATCATTCATCTGCAGAGGCTGTGATTGGCTTATTTAAATTGTGCTGAATTGTAGCTGTTTTCTAAGATTGTTTTGTTTCCTAGGAACATCCCTAGTTTAGACCCCAAACACAAAAGAGAGAATGCTGTTTATCAAAGTGATCTCTCTCTCTCTCAATTTCATACAAAATGTACGTTCACACAGACTTTGAGGTGACATTGAGCATCGCATAGGGAAAAAAACTTAAATCAGAGACAAGAGTATATCTTGTCTCTGGGAGATGGCAGA